TTCTATTGAAGTATATTATGCGCATAAACTGGAACGAATCAGCTTTATTGCGAAAGTGAATTGTTCTGTTAATCTTGGTTCAGTTTTGTTGAGTATATAAAATTTATGAATTATCTTCTTTTCTGTAATGTATGTATCTGTGCATGAATTGGATTTTTTTATTATTGTGGGAAAATAATTACTAATTCAAATTTGTGGTTTTTATTTTGGAGATGAAGACAAGACCAAGAATAATAACGTAAGAGAGGCTGCATGTTTTTCTTAATAAATAAAATAGAAGAATGTAATGGAGAGCTAGAGTTTCAGAAATAAAAAAAGGAAGAAACTTATTCTTATACAACATAGTTGTATAATGTATATATCGTTTTTGGGTGAAAGTAGAGAAGGATTAGGCGGTATAATGTATATATTGTAATAGTACTTTTGATTAGATGTCCATTTTGTTGTAGACAAGCTTCATCTATAAACAAGTGTCCAGGAATCCACACATAGAATAGAGTAATTAAGAGCTGGCCCGTCCTACCTGTATTGAGATTAGTGCACTCATATGAGCCATATCGAATGTAGCTAACAGTTGATAACTAATACTTCTGTTTCTTGCATTGCTAGGAAATATACCGCATCAAGCTTCCAGGTCCTCCTACAGATATTGGCGAAGGAAAACCTGAAAATCAAAACCATGCCATTATCTTTACTCGCGGAGAAGCCCTGCAGACAATAGACATGAATCAGGTAGCTCTCCTTGTGTCTTTATGTAAAAAATTATATACAAAGTCGGTCATTTTACCTTCTTATTGCCTGAAAGAGGAAAAAAGGGTGTTATATTGTGCTTTATTCATCCTCTTTTTCCAGGATAATTACTTTGAAGAAGCTTTCAAAATGAGAAATGTGTTGGAGGAATTCCTAAAGCGTCGTCGTGGGAACCGAAAACCCACAATATTGGGTCTAAGGGAGCATATTTTCACTGGAAGGTAAGCCTTTCAATATATCCGCTCAAAATTTATGGACCTTAATGGGATGATTAGTGGCAATTGTAGTGTTATATGCTTATTTTTCTTTTCCTTCCTAATGTACAGTGTTTCATCACTTGCTTGGTTCATGTCAAATCAAGAGACCAGTTTTGTAACTATTGGCCAAAGAATTTTGGCAAATCCACTGAGGTAAGCCTTAAATTACATTTGACTGAGCCACATTCTAATTCTGTTTTGTACTTCGTTTCTTGGTTTGGGCGTGGTGAGAGGACTAATATCCATTTAACTCTAGCCACCAGAATCGTAATCCAATCCTCAATTGTTTGTTATTTATTTACTATTACCATTCCGGTACCTATCTAATGTCATTCCAACTTGACAGGGTACGGTTCCATTATGGTCATCCTGATATATTTGATAGAATCTTCCACATAACAAGGGGTGGCATAAGCAAAGCTTCAAAAATAATAAACTTGAGCGAGGATATATTTGCAGGTAATTTTCCATTCTTAACACGATCATCCACTAATTTAGTATTATGTCTGTCGATTAATTGTGTTGATGCCTTCAGGGTACAATTCAACTATGCGTGGGGGGTTTATAACGCATCACGAATATATCCAAGTAGGCAAGGGGCGTGACGTGGGAATGAACCAAATATCACTTTTTGAGGCTAAGGTTTCAAATGGAAATGGAGAACAAACACTTAGCCGTGATGTTTACCGGCTTGGGCGTCGGTTTGATTTCTTCAGAATGCTGTCCTTTTACTTCACAACAATTGGATTCTATTTTAGTAGTATGGTATGCTAGCGAGACTAATCTCATTTGTCTAATGATTTACTTTGTTCCATTAGTAGTTTATACTAAGTAGATTTCTCAGACAACATGTCAGATGTCAATGCAGTCGCTGTACTTCATTAATCCATCCTTTGTCTATAGGACTAGGTTGGCATTGCTTAATTCATGTTTGAGAGAAGATTTTTCAGATGATTATATATGTTACTGACAATGTCCATGACAGGTACAATAGTTATAGATGATAAAGCGGCCAGCCGTATTCACAATAAATTGATTGAATCTGAGAATTGTATAAATAGGAAGGGCATTATTAGAGTTTTGAGGATGTCTTTTGGTTGTCTTTGGCTTTTTGTGTTTATCTGCTTGAAGGGATGTGGTATTTTACAACTGACTTATGTATTGCAGCTTGACACAGACATTATATTGTTTCAGGTAACTGTGCTGATTGTATATGTGTTTTTATATGGACGTATGTACATGGTTATGAGTGGGTTAGAGAACGAGATCCTGGACAGTCCAGCCATACATGAGAACAAAGCCTTCGAAGAGGCTTTGGCTACCCAGTCTGTCTTTCAACTGGGCTTGTTGCTTGTGCTTCCCATGGTAATGGAAATTGGCCTAGAGAAAGGGTTCCGCACTGCCTTGGGTGATTTTGTTATCATGCAGCTGCAGTTGGCCTCTGTTTTCTTCACATTCCAACTTGGAACAAAAGCCCATTACTATGGAAGGACAATCTTACACGGAGGATCTAAATACCGTGCAACTGGCCGTGGTTTTGTTGTCGTCCATGCAAAGTTTTCCGAGAATTACAGACTCTACTCACGCAGTCACTTTGTGAAAGGGTTGGAATTGCTGATTCTGCTGATTGTTTATGGAGTCTATGGGGAATCTTATAGGAGTTCAAATCTTTTTTGGTTCATCACCTTCTCCTTGTGGTTTCTGGTTGCTTCGTGGTTGTTTGCTCCTTTCATATTCAATCCGTCCAGCTTTGACTGGCAAAAAACTGTAGATGATTGGACAGAGTGGAAGAGGTGGATGGGAAACCGTGGTGGTATTGGGATATCACCTGACAAAAGTTGGGAATCATGGTGGGATGAAGAACAGGAACACCTCAAATACACAGTTTTCCGGGGAAGAATTCTGGAGATAATACTTGCGCTTCGGTTCCTTATTTACCAATATGGAATTGTTTACCACCTTGATATAGCTCATCACAGCAAGAGTTTACTGGTAATATTCGTGTTCTATTATATTTGACTAGTTATTCTCCTGTTGGCCTATAAATAGTTGTTTAGCCTTAAGGCCTAATTTTTACGACTTTTTTCAATTTCTTTGCAGGTTTATGGACTTTCTTGGGTGGTTATGGTAACTGTTCTTCTCGTTTTAAAGGTATGCAAATAAAATCATTAATAACTAGTAAGCATGTTTGATGAAAGGTTGTTTGGACTTGGTTTTGACTGGGTTACAGATAAAAATGTTACTTCTCTGATGACATGATATATCTGATGTTGCTTATTTTGCATGTTTCCATCAGATGGTTTCCATGGGTAGACGAAGATTTGGCACCGACTTTCAGCTCATGTTCAGAATTCTGAAAGCGCTTCTGTTTCTTGGTTTCATGTCAGTCATGACTGTCCTATTTGTTGTTTGCGGCCTTACTATTTCAGATCTATTTGCTGCAATCCTTGCCTTTCTACCCACAGGCTGGGCCCTTCTTCTGGTAAGTTAAATGTTTTATGTTGTTTAAGCATCGAGAGTTTTTTCACTTCGAAAATACCTGTCTCAAAATTATGCTTAGAAACAATGTCCCAAACTTTTCCTAATTGTATTCACTAAACCAATTGTTTGTTTCATTCTTTCAAGATCGGACAAGCATGCAGGCCGATGTTCAAAGGGCTAGGGTTCTGGGAATCAATCAAGGAGCTTGGAAGAGCATACGATTACATAATGGGACTAGTAATCTTCATGCCGGTAGCCATTTTGTCATGGTTCCCGTTTGTATCAGAGTTCCAAACACGTATCCTCTTCAACCAGGCATTCAGCAGAGGCCTGCAGATTTCCAGGATTCTTGCAGGGAGGAAAGACAAGACTGCGTCTCGGACAGAAGCTTAAAAATTTCCATCTACATTGAAGCTTTTAGCATCTCTAAGTTCATATCCGCAATTAGAATATAATTTATCCTGTGAAAATCCATAGAAACATAACAATTAATTTTATGAGGAAGACTAAGTAGAGTGCCTTTGTAGTTGCTTGTCTTTGCCACTCACTGCCTATACCAAGTTTCATGTATATCATTAGCTGCTACCTTCTTTCCACTTATGATGTTAAATTGCATAATTTTGAATGTTCACTGGAATTGGTGGATGCTTCCATGAATATATGGCCTAGTTTCGTGTCTAGGACTAGATTGATAACCTTCTAAATAGTGGCTTATTCATTCAAACTCAATCTTGTATACCAAACGAGGCCTAAGTTCTTGAATTTGGAGTCCTCTGCCTTTGAGTTAGGCAGAGCATAGATCTTTTAAAGCACCAACCTTTTGTAACCAGATTTTTTCTCTCCAAATGTCTATTTTCAATTTGAACGTACATACAAAATTGAATGAAAATATTTTAAATTAGATAATATTGATTTTGTTTAGTGCATGACCAATAATTCAACAAACGAGAGATGCTAGGATCAGTCATTAGTAAAAGAATTTATGCAAGGTTGTTCATGTAATTTGAAGATAATATAAGGTTACTGGTAAAAGGTTACGTGTTCAAGAAATAAAAATTTAGTCATTAAATTATTAACATAACCATCATCAGTTACTTGGAATGTGGAATTCAACTTCAAACATATTGATAACTATGTAATTGAAGTATCGATAACATTATAACATGAATCATGTCCAAAGCCTGTAGTGTTTTAATATGCTTGTCCATATTAAATATCAAACCAGCATGTTGGTCAGACCGTTTGACTCAAATAATGAACAACAACAATCATTTACATATCGTTTGTACGTGTGTAGTCATTTTGCTTTTGTGCATGGAGTTGCATGGTGGGCATGTATATGAGTGGTTTGTCCTATTTTAGTCACAAGATTAAGAAAATTGATCATTTATGTCTATTTCTCGGATATTACACGTGTCACCCTGCTGGCTTTAGGGGTCCCCACTTTCTTTCTTCTTTACGGAGTCACAGTTCCCGCTTTGTTAACTTCGAAACTAAGCAGATTCCGGTGATCTTAGAAGGCAGCCTCTCCGCAGCAGAAACACCACACTTCCGCGCAGCTGATGAAGATTTGTTTATCACAATTCTCTAATTCTAAAAGCAAAAGCACTTCAAAAGGCATCTGAAACCCTCCAATATATCACCAATTCCTTTCTTGCTTGCAAAGCAAAAACACACTTTGCTTTCCTTTTCCCCACCTCCTTCCCAGAGTGTGTGTGTGTGTGTATCTCTCTCTCTCTCTCTCTCTCTCTTATATTTCTCTCTTTAAATCGCCGAAAAGATCACATCATATCTTCGCAACAACCCACATTGAATAAGTGAGAGCTGAAACCGAGAGGAGACTGCCGAGGATTGGCGGTGCTTTTCGGAAATGGCCAGCTCCAGCGGGACGAAGAACGACTTCCTGGGGCCGCCTCAGTCATCATCGAGGGCAATGACCACTAGGGCTTTGGACGACGCGTTGGACAGCATAGTTGTGCCCCCTGCACTTGACTCAATTGCTCCGATTTTTCGAGTTGCGGATGAGATTGAGAAGGACAACCCTAGGGTTGCTTATCTCTGTATGTTATTGTTGCCCTCACTGTTAATTTGTCATGTTAGTTTGCAATTCGTACTGTTTGGAACCAAGTGACCAGAAAAAGTTTGAAATTACTTTTTTTGCATGAATTCGTTTGTGTGCATAGTTTGGAACAAAATGTTAAATTGTGTTGGAAAATTTAATATTATTATTATTACTATTATTATTTTAAATTGATTATTTGAATGGAAGTTAGAAGTTGTGCCTTTTGGTTGTGACTTTTCACGACATGTTTTCTAAAGAAATATCTCAAATTCTATAAATAGGGAAGCCCTCTATAAACATATAATAACTTTTACATTCACTTATTCACACATATAGTGCACTATTGTTAGAGAGTTTTGTAGTGTTCCATTGAGTCCATATGAGGGCGTATTCACAATCGTGGTTCATTGGAGTCTTGTATCCTGAGAGAAGCGCCGATCAACCATGAGCACCGTAATAGGGGATAAACTTGTTTTAATGACAGAGTGGTCAACACTTGCTTCGACCATATTTTCTAATTTTTCTAATCCATTATGTCATGTTCATTTAACATTGGTTACTCATGTGCATGAATTACTTTGACAAGTTTAATTGGTGTAATTGCTACTCTGATTTTTCATTAGTAAAGCAATTAAATGGTTTGCATATTCTGGTTGTTGAGAAGAATTGTATATGAAAAACTTTATGTCGTGTTATCTTTATTTGATTATGCTATTTGGATATATGACTGATATTTGATGAAAACATGGAACTACTTTGGTTACTTTATAGTGGGTATCTAATGTTCTGCATTTGCATATAGATTTGTTACTTTGTGGAATTGTTCACTGTAAATATTTTAATATATATGTTCTGCAAATGTTACGAGGTTGATTCAATGACTTATATGGCTGTTTTCCAGAAAAGCCAGCACTAGTATCTTTTGGAAATAGCCGTTTCCGTTGCCCATTTTCCCAGTCGTGACTAGTTCTTTACCATGTTTTGTAGCAATGCATGCATATACCGCCACTAGTGTGATATATATGGTCATAATTCTAATTAATTTCATTGCATGCATATGCATTATTTTGTTTGTTAATTGGTTCGTTCATAGGCCTGTGGTTGTGGCAATTTTTTCGACGACAAGGAAATCTGAGAAAAGGGGAAATACCTTTTCATGAAAGGATGTTTCTTTTCACTTAGAAAACTATGTGCCGACGTGCGTTGGTAGATAGAGAAGGTCTGAAAGCTTGAGATATCATGTGTATACACAAGAGATATGCTTTGTGTGGATTTCTAACTAGGGCGTCATATATAGTGAACACATGATGCATGACAACAGTAAATAATGAAACCAATGAAATGTAAAATGCTACGATGTGAAATTAAAAGGAGTGCCAAGAGAAGTGCTTCTCATAGAAAGGACTTGTGAGGCTCGAAAGCCTAGAAGTAAAGATAGATAAAGAGAAAAGCCAGAAAATCTTAATAAGACTTAATTTCCTATTAATAATTTTTTTAATCTATATTCCAGTGCGGATAGAATATCAATGTTCTTTGTCTCAAGTGTTCCTGCTTCGCTTGTTAAGTGAGCTTCATTGTTGTTTGTAATGTGCTTGGTGTGTATGTTTTGAGTACGGCAGAAAGCACTTGTTGATTGTAGTGGCAGAATATGTTAGTATGTTAGGTTGATATTTTTTGTGCATTCAGGCCGCTTCCATGGATTTGAGAAGGCAAACATGATGGATCCAACATCAAGTGGACGTGGTGTTCGACCCTTTAAGACGCTCCTTTTGCACAAACTTGAAAGGGTAGACCCTTAAATTGTTAATGGTTTCTGGTATTTTATTTTCTTTTTCCTGAAGATTGGTCCGATCTTAGCACTTCATTTATATTTCTCGTTGGTAAGTGTATGATTAGTTCAGTTGTGATTTCATCTGTACGTTAATGGGGCAAGATTTATTTTATTCCTTCTCCTCCTCGTTTATCCTTTTGGCTTCCATGATTAGATGTTTCAAACTCAGTTCCTCCTGCAATTAGACCTCTGATTCCATTGTGGACAAGGATTGGACCCCAAAACTTTAAGCTGTCGGGAAATAAGGGAACAATTCATACCAGGCTACCATTTTAAAATAATCTTTAAGGCTAATCCTAATTCTAAAGTATCATTACTAATCTTTATATTACATGAAGTGCTTTTTGAAAATGAATTGAAGTGTCTTTGTTTTTCTTAAAATTCTATTCATTGCAGGACGAAGTGGATACAAAACATCAGCTTGCTAGATCTGATCCACAAGAAATTCTGAAGTATTACCGCCAATTCTATGAGAAAAATATCAAAGATGGAGGGTACACAAAGAAACCGTAAGTCTTTGAATTTTGATATGCTTGATTTATTTGCTAATTGGATTAATCATTGTATCTTATACTTTTGGACACTAACTCTTGAAGGGAAGAGATGGCTAAGAATTGTCAGATTGCAAGAGTACTGTATGATGTGCTCATGACACTGGTACCTCAATCCCAAATAGACAAACAGGTTTGATTTTTATGATTTGGGGATGCTCAAGTCCTTAACAGACAGTTTGATACAGAAGGTACTGAAAATAATTGTATCGTTACAGACACTGAAGATGGCTGAAGATGTCCAGAAGATGGCTGAAGATGTCAAGAAGAAAAAGGAGCAGTATGTCAACTATAACATTCTTCCGCTTTATACTGTTGGTGTTCAACCAGCAATTATGGAACTTCCCGAGGTTGTACATACGCTGTATATGTGATTTCCATTCCTTTCTGATTTCGTTTCATGAAATATTATTTTTCTCTATTGCTTACTGCTTTATTGTCTTATTTTCACCTGAAAATATTAGATCAAAGCAGCGCGCCGTGCTCTACAAAATGTGAACAGTCTTCCAATGCCAATATTTCATGTAAAATCCGTGAATCCTGATGACAGTTCAACAGCGCCTACAGAGAGGATTAAACCTGTCAATGATATACTCGATTGGCTTTCGTATATTTTTGGGTTTCAGGTGACTTCTGCCCTAAATACCCATCTCTTTCATCTTACCTTGGTTCTTATATGCCATAGGTCCGAAACTTTTATTCGTATGCTAACCTTAAGTTTCTTAATGGGTTGCTTTTTTGTGGGTTGAAGAAAGGAAATGTGGCGAATCAGAGGGAACACTTACTCTTGCTACTTGCCAACATGGACGTAAGACACAGAAATCTTGAAAATTTCACTGAGGTACATCTGTGTTGCTTTGAGATGCTTTGTGTTTATTTTTTGCTTTGAGTTTTACAGGCTCCCATTTTTCTTGACTGTATTTTACGTGATGATTAAAGATTAACAGAAAGCTTATTGCAGTTGAACAGTGCCACTATACAACAATTGAGCGAGAAAATTTTTAAGAATTATCGTTCCTGGTTTAACTATTTGCATTGTAAATCAAATATTAGGTGAGTAATCTAAATACCATCAACGTTATAACTTGATGCCTGAATTTGAATTCATAGAGTTGTCACCATTTCAGCACTACTAATTTTCATTTGGTATCTCTGTCCCTCCCTCCTCCTCCAACTTTTAAGGTTCCCTCCGGGTGAAGACAGACAAGAATTGGAACTTATTTACATTGCGCTCTATCTTCTCATATGGGGTGAAGCTTCAAATATTCGGTTCATGCCTGAATGCTTATGCTATATTTTCCATCAGGTATGTAAGCTTTCTTTTCATATTAGCTCATCAAGATGAATGCTCTGGAGTTTCATGTCATAACATTAGTTTTTTTTCTAGACCGTGGCCCTTTTTTTTCGAAAATCATTTTGAGAATGGCCAAATCTTTTAGTAGTTTTCATTATTTTCTTAGTTTCTTATTATAGCTAGCCTCCTGATAGCAAACTTGATTTTGAAACCAATTCCTCACCATTTATTAAAACAGTAGAAGAACAAAATGAAAGTCTATAAGTACATACTAGTGAGTTGCAAAGTAAAACATAAAAGTCTAGTCTACAACATAAATATTATACTGTAAGTTTGTAGAGAATCATGCTTGTTCTTAATACACAACTTTTTCAGAAGTTTCACTTTGACATGTCCTGAAACTTATAAGGTTTGATAACACTTTTCTTCCATAATTGTTAAGATGGCCAAAGAGGTATATGGAATTTTATCTAGCAATGCTCATCCGGCTAATGGAGAAACATACGAAACAACAGCACGGGAAGAAGAATCTTTTCTGAAAGATGTTGTAACTCCTATCTACCAGGTCTTGTACAAGGTAAGGATTGTATTCTACTGCCTGTATTTCTCCACAAGAAGCATTTTTATTACAATTTTGTAATTCAAAAGTTGAATCTCTTTTTTGTTGCAAAGGAGGCAAAGAGAAACAAAAATGGCAAGGCAAGTCATTCAAGATGGAGAAATTATGATGATCTAAATGAATACTTTTGGTTAGTATCTTTGATGGTAAATTTTGCTTTCGGTCCAATTCAGATGTAAATAGCTGAAAGACCTGTTTATTCCTTCTAGGTCCGACAGTTGTTTTAGGCTAGGGTGGCCAATGGACCCTAAAGCAGATTTTTTTAGGCATTCAGATGGGATTCAACCAACAAAGGAGGTACTTATCTTTGTTGAGATTGTCTGTTTATAACTTTGAGTGGGGGATGGTCAACTTAGACATATTGTTCAGAAGAAACAAAACTCCTATTGCTACACAGTTTACTAAAATTCCTGTTCTCTTATGAGTTGGACTTTTCTGCGTGCTACATGGGCACAGTAACTTGTCTATAATACACAGTGTTTGCGCACATGCGCATAGGAATTTTCTTTTTATCCTTTTTCTTAATAAATTTGTATTCATCTGCATACATGTTTAATAGAGGCCAAATCAAGCTGCTGGTGGGAGGAGGAAACCTAAAACAAATTTTGTAGAAGTCCGAACATTTTGGCACCTCTACAGAAGTTTTGACCGAATGTGGATATTCTTGATATTGGCTTTCCAGGTAGTCTTAATTTATAATTATATGTTTATAGTTTGAGTAATGACTCCAAACTCCCTTAGAGTTCTCAAATACACAATCCTGATATACACTAAACTCCACGTCGTAAGTGTCTTTCACCAACGGTAGCTTTTCGATTTTCAGTGTGATCTTATAAACAATGTACTCTCTTTCATGCCCTTTCCTATCCATAATAACATGATTGGAAAAGCGAGCATACACTTCCCTTGCTTCTGAAATCACCTATAACAGCTGTGTATGCTGTTATAATACGTTGATGTTGTCATTTTCCATGCCCACCTCACTTCATGTCAGGGCAGTAGTTCAAGAATTAACATGGCTTTTCAAAGCAATTTGGATTTTGAAGTCCTCTACGGAAGTGGACTTGAATTCTAAACCGTGTTTATTCAAGCTCGTTAACCAACAATATAGAATACTATAGCCTATACTAAATAGAAAACAAAATATAAAAAAATTCCTATCTATGCAAGCTTAAGTGGTGGTGATGGAATTTGAGAGCGATGGAAAAGATACGAATTCGTATTGTCTTTCTACATTCTGTTTTGTTTTGTGGGAGGAGGATTGGAGGTGGTGGGTGGAAAATAGGGTAATGCTTTGTTTAAGAAAAAAGCCATCATCTGTGCAGCTAAGAGCGTGTGGCATTTTTCTTTCGGGGAGCTTTTCCATTTGAATCAAAGTGGCTACTCCTGAACAAAAATGAGGTTGATATGTTTCCTAGATAAAATAGGATGTGTTTTTAAGATGAAAGGGAGATTGGAGAATTTCTTTCTTTTAATTCTATACAATTCTTGTAAAGGAGTGTGCCTCACTATATTCTGATTTTTAGGCTCTGCTTATTGTTGCATGGAGTCCTTCTGGTTCTCTGACTGCTTTCTTTGATGCGGATGTCTTCAGAAGTGTTTTAAGTATCTTCATCACTAATGCTTTCCTCAACTTATTACAAGGTGGGTGTTCTTGGCATTTATTTCCCTATAATGTATACCGTTATATTCTGCTCTAATGGCATGCCATCAATTTACTGACTTTTCTGCTACACTTTCCTATCTTGTGTTTGTATGTTCTTCAGCCACTCTGGATATAATTCTTAGTTGGCATTGTTGGAAGAGCTTGGAATTCACTCAAAAACTACGATACCTCTTGAAATTTGCTGTAGCTGGTGTATGGGCTGTGGTTCTGCCTATTGGTTATTCTAGTTCTGTGCAGAGTCCTACAGGACTTCTAAAATTCTTCAGCAGTTGGTCTAGGGATTGGCGGAATCAATCATTTTATAATTATGCTGTCGCGCTCTATCTACTTCCTAATATATTGGCTGCTGTGCTATTATTTCTTCCACCTTTACGGAGGCACCTAGACCGCTCAAGCTGGAGGATTGTCACTCTCTTTATGTGGTGGGCTCAGGCAAGCATGTCTAAAACAAATTTCTTGTTGCCTTGTGCTTTAGATTTATCTTTTTGCTTTGTTGTTTTTGCTTGAGTTATGGATATTTGAATGATTTTTTTGATGTGTTTCTGGCCATACTACAGCCAAAAATGTACGTAGGAAGAGGGCTTCATGAGGACGTCTTTTCACTGCTGAAGTAAGTCAAAAGTATCTTCACTTACTTTTATTATTTTTCTTCATCGTTTGAGAGTGGGTGTTGATGAGGGGGTTCGCCATTTTGCTGCTTGTCTTTCCACTCATTAGTCATTACTATGGATATTTGATTTCGGGTGCCCTTGTTCTGATTTTAACAGAATTACCTTTCTTTTCAGATATACGCTGTTTTGGATCATGCTGCTAATCAGCAAGCTATCGTTCAGCTATTACGTGGAGGTGGTTTCTCTTCAATATTCTTCTTTCTGATCTTAACCCCTTTTTTATTTTCCATTTCTTATTCATGTTCACATACATGCATAGCAAGGCATTGGCATATTCATGTAGGTTTTAGGTACTTGAATGATTTACACACTCCCACACACGTACAATCTGTGTGTGTTGTGTGTGCATAAACTCAGTTAGTTCATGAAATTAAAACTGAAGAGTGACGAAATTTGCTAAACTCATTTTTTTTAAGTTACTAATCGGTATTTGTATATTATGATAACAGATACTGCCACTTGTTGCACCTACAAAAATAATAATGGAAATGCCTATAAGTAATTATCGATGGCATGAGTTCTTTCCAAATGGTAATATTTCAAACTTTGCTATACCGCTTTCACTTAAAACGTTTTTATCTGTAGCCTGCTCTTACTACAAATTCACATTTGGAACTGCTGTAGTAACTCATAATATTGGCGTTGTTATTGCAATATGGGCTCCAATCGTCCTGGTAAGTGAACCGCGGAAGAATTCTTTCATATGGTAAAATTTGCATTTCTTGTACATGCTTATGTAAATTATCACTTTTAATGATTATTGGTGTATAGGTTTATTTTATGGATGGACAAATATGGTATGCAATATTTTCTACTATCTTTGGTGGAATTCATGGAGCCTTCAGCCGTGTGGGTGAGGTCGGTGGCAAATTTGTTCTCTCTGTTTACATTTAACGTGTCTATATCTGTCTCAGACTCTCAGCTTGTCTTGGTTTCTTCCCAATGAACCCTTTATAACTATTTGTCTCTCAGATACGGACCCTTGGGATGTTGAGGTCCAGATTTGAATCTGTGCCTTCTGCTTTCAGTAATCGTCTTATGCCGTCACAAAATGAGTATGCAAACAAGGAAGAACCGGTACTAATTTAATCAGTGTTTTCATATTGCTCTATGTACATGGAATTTAAGTTGATTTTGCCCCTCATAATATATTTCATACCATACATAGATGATTTGCACACCACATACGGATGCAGGTAATTTGTTTGGTATTTCTTGTCAATCATGACCTGAAATCTTTTTTCTTCCATGTCTTTGACTAAAAGTGGACACTTTGATGTGGCAGAATGAGCAACGCCAACGAAAGAACATTGCTAATTTCTCTCACGTTTGGAATGAGTTCATAACTTCAATGCGAGGGGAAGACCTTATCAGCAATAGGTTAACTTCTTCTTGCTCTCTAATTTACCTTTCAACGCAGTTTTGGAAAGTTGCTGATTATATCCGTTCAAAATAAACCGTACAGAGATAGAGATCTGCTGCTTGTTCCATATTCATCAGGTGATGTGTCTGTTGTCCAGTGGCCTCCTTCCTTGCTTGCCAGTAAGGTATAATTTACCTTTCAACGCAGTTTTAGCAAGTTGCTTTTTTACATGCCTTCATATGTTAATTTTATGTACAAATCCAATCAGTAACTCTTATTATTGTTGTTTTCGCATGTGAAGATTCCGATAGCATTAGACATGGCAAGACATTTTAAGGGGAAGGCAGATGATGATTTATTTAGAAAGATTAAGAATGATGGTTGTATGTACTCAGCAGTAACTGAATGCTATGAGACACTCAAGGATATTATATATGGCCTTTTGGAAGATGAAGCGGATAAGATGTAAGTCAGAAGCATACCAGTTTGAATGTCATAGATAACCAGAATCGGCTTGCACAATTTTATCCTCCCTATTATAAAGTATGTTTCATCTTGCATATCAGGATTGTAAAGTGGATATGCTCTGAAGTAGACAGTAGCATACAGCAGCATAGATTTTTGACTAAATTCCGCATGAGCGGGCTGCCATTTCTTAGCGAGAGGTTGGAGAATTTTCTAAAGCTCTTGGTAACATACTTCCTTCGATGCCTTTCTAAAATTTTTAGTGCTGAGTTTTTCAGTAACGAACTGATAGTCTAGACAATGTAGACATTATACATTTCCTTTCTGAGTACTTAAGTTGGTGCGTTGGCAGCTAGTCGCAGATGAGGATGATGATAATGTCTATAGTTCCATGCATCAGATAATCAATGTCCTTCAAGATATCATGGAGATTATCACACAGGATGTTATGATCAACGGCCGTGAGTGAGTTCTAAGAAATTAGTGCATTCTGGTGACTGAACAAAAAAATGTCATAACCACCAAATGGGCCTTTCCATCTCCTGTGGTTTTATGGTTTTGTTCTTCTCTGTGCAGAATACTGGAGGCAGCACATCACATTGATCCTCAAAATGTCAAGAGGGAACAAAAGTTGCAAAAGCTTAAGATTGGCTACAGACATAAGGATTGGAGGGAGAAGGTAACTTTGGGAGACATTCTTTTGTTATTGACATTAACTGATTATCTAAGATTTTTGGGTCTTACTATCTTCTATGTTAACAAAGGTAGTCAGACTTCATTTGATTTTGACTGTCAAGGAGTCTGCCATCAATGTCCCTCAAAACTTGGAAGCTCGCAGGCGCATTACCTTCTTTGCAAACTCCTTATTCATGAACATGCCACGTGCTCCCAAAGTTCGTGACATGCTCTCATTCAGGTCTGTCATTGTAAACGCTCAGTTTGTCAATGGTAAAATTAGGCTACTAAATGGAATAAGGAAATAACAAAAAGGCCCCCCTTTGGACATGATTTTTGAGACTTGGTTGAAGTTGAAAGATCAATATGGTTTTTCTTCCAACATTTGTGTTGAAGATATATGTCGCTTACCTCTTTCAAGATTTTCTTTTTCGCTTCGGGATCTGATAATTGCTAAAATAAGTTCAATATTCTTCCTGATTTATATTTCAGTGTTCTGACTCCTTATTACAAAGAAGATGTGCTCTATTCTGATGAGGAACTTATACGAGAAAATGAGGATGGAATCTCAATTTTGTTCTACCTGCAGAAAATATATCCTGGTGCGTGTCAGTCTCATATCTGCATTATTCTTTTCATTTTTTGAAATTGACTTGAACTTACCCTTGCCAACCAACTATGATTGCCAATTAGATGAATGGACAAATTTCAAGGAACGGCTAAAAGAGATTCCTGAGGACAGATCAGAGTTAACTCGTCAGTGGGTATCTTACAGGGCACAGACACTTTCTAGAACAGGTCTGCATCAATTCGTAAATTGGTCTCTTGTATAATTATCATTTAATTATGTGAACTTACACTTTTTATCTGTATTTTTCTGCTAGTGAGAGGGATGATGTACTATAGGAAGGCTTTAGACCTTCAGTGTGTCCTGGAAACAGCAGGAGATAGTGGTTAGTGGTTTCTGTAGCAGATAATGGGTTTCAAGATCAACGTTACCTGATTTTGGTTCCAAAATTTTTTAAAAGCTAGTAAAGTGGCATCTGGTTATGTTGCAGATTTTTTTGGAGGCTACCAAACCTTAAACGAAAATGCTGAGCGGGCTTTTCGAGATCGTGCACAAGCTCTGGCAGATTTGAAGTTTACATATGTACTTTCTTGTCAGGTCTATGGTGCTCAGAAAAATTCCAATGAACCTCGGGATAGAAGTTGTTACATTAATATCCTGAAGCTGATGCTAATGTGAGTCAATAGTGCCGTAGGTGAACAATGAGTAGATTCCCTTGCTATTTAAATTGTCGATGGCATCGTTTAATATGTAAACTTTTTTGTAGGTATCCATCTCTACGTGTTGCTTACATAGATACAACGGAGGAGCAAGTGAATGGAAAACCCCAAAAAACTTACTTTTCTGTTCTAGTCAAGGGAGGTGACAAATGGGACGAGGTATGGAAAAAGACTGCTTGTTCTATACACACTGAACCGTGCATAGCATAGTAGCATGTACATTATGTATATATTGTAATAGTACTTTTGATTAGATGTCCATTTCGTTGTAGACATGCTTCATCTATAAACAAGTGTCCAGGAATCCACACATAGAATGGAGTAATTAAGAACCGTATGGAGTAATTTCGAATGTTATGAACAGTTAATAACTGATACTTCATTTTCTTGCATTGCTAGGAAATATACCGTATCAAGCTTCCAGGTCCTCCTACAGATATTGGCGAAGGAAGACCTGAAAATCAAAACCATGCCATTATCTTTACTCGCGGAGAAGCCCTGCAGACAATAGACATGAATCAGGTAGCTCTCCTTGTGTCTTTATGTAAAAATTATATACAAAGTGGGTCATTTTTACCTTCTTATTGCCTGAAAGAGGAAAAAAGGGTGTTATATTGTGCTTTATTCATCCTCTTTTTCCAGGATAATTACTTCGAAGAAGCTTTCAAAATGAGAAATGTGTTGGAGGAATTCCAAAAGCATCGTCGTGGGAACCAAAAACCCACAATATTGGGTCTAAGGGAGCATATTTTCACTGGAAGGTCAGCCTTTCAATATATCTGTTCAAAATTTATGGACCTTAATGGGATGATTAGAGGCAATTGTAGTGTTATATGCTTATTTTTCTTTTCCTTCTTAATGTACAGTGTTTCATCAGTTGCTTTGTTCACGTCGAATCAAGAGACCAGTTTTGCAACCATTGGCCAAAGAATTTTGGCAAATCCACTGAGGTAAGCCTTAAGTTACATTTGACTGAGCCACATTCTAATACCTATCTAATGCCATTCCAACTTGACAGGGTACGGTTCCATTATGGTCATCCTGATATATTTGATAGAATCTTCCACATAACAAGAGGTGGCATAAGCAAAGCTTCAAAAGTAATAAACTTAAGCGATGATATATTTGCAGGTAATTTTCCATTCTTAACACGATCATCCACTAATTTAGTATTATATCTGCTGACTAATTGTGTTGATGCCTTCAGGGTACAATTCAACTATGCGTGGGGGATTTATAACACATCACGAGTATATCCAAGTAGGCAAGGGGCGTGACGTGGGAATGAACCAAATATCACTTTTTGGGGCTAAGGTTTCAAATGGAAATGGAGAACAGACACTTAGCCGTGATGTTTACCGGCTTGGGCGTCAGTTTGATTTCTTCAGAATGCTGTCCTTTTACTTCACAACAATTGGATTCTATTTTAGTAGTATGGTATGCTAGTGAGAACTAATCTCATTTGTCTAATGATTTACTTTGTTCCATTCGTAGTTTATACTGAGTAGATTTCTTAGACAACATGCTTGGGAGAACTAATCTCATTTGTCTCTGTACTTCAATAAACCATCCCTTGTCTATTTTAGTAGTTGGCATTGTTTAATTCACGTTTGAATGATTATATATGTTACTGACAATGTCCTTGACAGGTACAATAGTTATAGATGATAAAGCGGCAAGCCGTATTCACAATAAATTGATTGAATCTGACAATTGTACAAGTAGGAAGGGCATTATTAGAGTTTTGAGGATGCGTTTTGGTCGTCTTTGGGTTTATGTGTTTATGTACTTGAAGGGGTGTGGTATTTTACAACTGACCTATGTATTGCAGCTTGACACGGACATTATATTGTTTCAGGTAACTGTGCTGGCTGTATATGTGTTTTTATATGGACGTATGTACATGGTTATGAGTGGGTTAGAGAAGGAGATCATGGAGAATCCAGCCATACATGAGAACAAAGCCTTCGAAGAGGCTTTGGCTGCCCAGTCTGTCTTTCAACTGGGCTTGTTGCTTGTGCTTCCCATGGTAATGGAAATTGGCCTAGAGAAAGGGTTCCGCACTGCCTTGGGTGATTTTGTCATCATGCAGCTGCAGTTGGCCTCTGTTTTCTTCACATTCCAACTTGGAACAAAAGCCCATTACTATGGAAGGAAAATCTTACACGGAGGATCTAAATACCACGCAACTGGCCATGGTTTTGTTGTCCATGCAAAGTTTTCCGAGAATTATAGACTCTACTCACGCAGTCACTTTGTGAAAGGGTTGGAAGTGCTGATTCTGCTGATTGTTTTTGGAGTCTATGGGGAATCTTATAGGAGTTCAAATCTTTTTCGGTTCATCATTTTCTCCATGTGGTTTCTGGTTGCTTCGTGGTTGTTTGCTCCTTTCATATTCAATCCGTCCAGCTTTGACTGGCAGAAAATTGTAGATGATTGGACAGAGTGGAATAGGTGGATGGGAAACCGTGGTCGTATTGGGATATCACCTGACAAAAGTTGGGAATCATGGTGGGATGAAGAACAGGAACACCTCAAATACACAGGTTTCCGGGGAAGAATTCTTGAGATAATACTTGCGCTTCGGTTCCTTATTTACCAATATGTAATTGTTTACCACCTTGATATAGCTCATCACAGCAAGAGTTTACTGGTAATATTCTTGTTCCATTATATTTGACTAGTTGTTCTCCTGTTGGCCTATAAATAGTTGTTTAGGCTTAAGGCCTAATTTTTACCACTTTTTTCAATTTCTTTGCAGGTTTATGGACTTTCTTGGGTGGTTATGGTAACTGTTCTTCTCGTTCTAATGGTATGCAAATAAAAATCACTAATAACTAATACGTATGTTTGATGCAAGGTTGTTTGGACTTGGTTTTGACTGGGTTACAGATAAAAATGTTACTTCTCGGATAATATGATATATCTAATATTGCTTATTTTGCATGTTTCCATCAGATAGTTTCCATGGGTGGACGAAGATTTGGCCCCGACTTTCACCTCAGGTTCAGGATTTTGGAAACGCTTCTGTTTCTTGGTTTCATGTCAGTCTTGATTGTCCTATTTGTTGTTTGCGGCCTTACCATTTCAGATCTATTTGCTGCAATCCCTGCCTTTCTACCAACAGGCTGGGCCCTCCTTCTGGTAAGTCAAATGTTTTATGGAGTTCAAGCATTGGGAGTTTTTTCATTTCGAAATACCACTCTCAAAATTATGCTTAGAAACAACGTCCCAAACTTTTCCTAATTGTATTCATTAAACCAATTGTTTGTTTCGTTCTTTCAAGATCGGACAAGCATGCAGGCCGGTGTTCAGAAGGCTAGGATTCTGGGAATCAATCAAGGAGCTTGGACGAGCATACGATTACATAATGGGACTAGTAATCTTCACGTCCATAGCCATTTTGTCATGGTTCCCGTTTGTATCAGAGTTCCAAACACGTATCCTCTTCAACCAAGCATTCAGCAGAGGCCTGCAGATTTCCAGGATTCTTGCAGGAAGGAGAGACAAGACTGCGTCTTGGACAGAAACTTAAAAATTTCCATCTACATCGAAGCTTTTAGCATCTCTAAGTTCATGTCCGCAATTAGAATATAACTAGAAAGTGATGCTTGCGCGTTGCTGCGGGATTAAAAATTGTATGAAAAATTGTGTAACTTCATTATCTTCATAAGCAATGTTTTGTTTAGGACCTTGCAATGCCTTAACTCACTCCTTAGTTAATTTACCTGCCTCGTAGTGAATATAGGAATGTGGTGACTTAGCACTTGGGTTACCTAAGTCTTTTGTGTATAGTGGATGATGTGGGTATATACAATCCCATTGTAATTCCCTTTGAATTATGAAATAACAAACTTATCTTTTCTCTACAATTTTCCTTTTTCTCTGCAACTTTTCTTTTCTCTACAACTTGTTCCCCCCTTGGTGCAGCTGGAACCTATCATTTGGTATCAAAGCCAGGTTTCGATCCTGGGACCTGTGGGTTATGGGCATGCCCAGAAGGCGGAATTCGAGTGCCAAGATGAAGAGATGCTCGTCGCTGGCATAATTCATCCAAGCATGAGTCCTTTTTCTTCGCCTGCATTCTTAGTGGTTAAGAATGACTCTTCCTGGCATTTTTGTGTGGACCATCGCGAAGTCAATTCTGTCCAGTTCCCATTATTGATGAGCTATTGCCTGAATTGCAGGGGGTGGTTATTTTTTCGAAACTGGACCATCGATCAGGCTACCATCAAATCCGTATGCATAGGGCGGACATCCATAAGACGGTGTTCCGCACTCACGAGGGTCATTACGAATTCACGGTCATGCCTTTTGGCCTTACCAACGCCCCTGCAACGTTTCAAGCACTGATGAATTCCATCTTGAAGCCACTACTCAGAAAATCCGTCCTTGTTTTTTTTTTACAACATTTTGTTTTTCAGTGCTTCCTTGGCTCAACATGTTGCCCATTTAGTTGTGGTATTTGACATCTTACAGGCGTATCAACTGCATCTGAAACCATATAAATGCCTTTTGGTCAGAACTCCATTGCCTACTTGGTTCATATCATTTTTGCCAATGGAGTCACGGTTGATCCCTCCAAAATTGCTGCCATTGTGGACTAGTCGACACCTACTAGTGTTCATGCTCTTTGAGGATTTTTGGGTCTCACGAGGTATTACTGTAAGTTCGTCCAACATTTTGGCCTTATTGCCAAGCCCTTCACAGACTCGCTCAAAAAATACGGTTTTCTTTGGTCCAAGGACTCGAACACCGCCTTCTCGGATCTCGAAGGTACGCTGTCCACCACCCCAATCCTCGCGCTGCCCGATTTTACTAAATATTTAGCCATTGAGTGCGACACCTCCAATGTCGGTATTGGTGCTGTGTTATCCCAAGACAACCACCTGATCTAGTTCCTCAGTAAGCCTATAGCCCCCAAACACCGATCTATCTTGGTGTATGATAAGGAAATGCTCACAGTGATCTTCACGGTTCAAAAGTGGCATCTATGCTTAATTGGCCACCACTTCAAAATACTCACGGATCACCAGACATTGAAATATTTCTTGGACCAACACATTGCTACTCCAGCACAATAGAAGTGGTTACTGAAACTTCTCAGGTACAACTATACTATGGAGTACCGCTCTGGTGCTTCCAATGCAGCCGCCGATGCCTTATCCCTCCATCCCAAATTACTCTCCTTAATGGGTATCTTATAGCCATTGTTTGATTGTGTGGCAGCGATACAAGCAGCCTATACCACAGACCCCCAGGCATCCGACATCCTCAAAGCATTGCACCAAGACCCGACCAGTTAACGCTCATTTCAGCTCCAAGGTGACCTTCTCTATTACAATTCCGACATTTTTGTGCCTTCCATGTGGCTCTGGCGTTCCCACCTTCTCAAGGAATTCCACGCCTCCCCCTCTTCAGGTCACTTTGGCTTCTTGCACACTTACAAGCGCCTCACCCACAACTTTAATTGGCATGGCCTAAAAAAGGATGTAAAGAGTTTTGTGGCAGTTTATGAAGTTTGCCAAAGAACCCATTATGAAACAATTAAACAACCTCCACCATTGTAGCCCTTATCCATTCCCATCCAAGTGTGGACAGATATCGTCATGGACTTCGTCGAATGTCTACCCGCAGCCAACGAACGGGATGCTATCTTGGTCGTAGTGGATCACCTCTCCAAATATGGACACTTCATCCCTATCAAGCATCCTCATACTACCCCCCAACTTGCAAATATCTTCATTCATAAGGTTTTTCGTTTGCACGGGATACCAGCGTTCATTGTAAGTGACAAGGATCCGACTTTCATTAGTGAATTTTGGACTGCCTTTTTCAAACATTAACATACAGTACTTTCTAAAAACTCAGCCTATCATCCACAATCTGACGGCCAAACGGAAGTTCTTAACCGCACCTTGGAACACTATCTGAGGAGCTTTGTCATGGACAAGCCGAGCACGCGGTTACGATGGCTTCCGTGGGCCAAATGGTGGTAAAATACTACCTTTCAGTCCTCCATCAAGATAACACCCTTCCAGGCAGTCTATGGCTACCCCCTACCCTCTGTGTCGTCTTACCTTCCCGGCTCCTCGCCTATTCACTTGGTGGATATCACTCTTCAGGACCATGACACTTTACTCAAGTAGTTCACGGAAAATATGCACGTGGCACAACAGAGGATACGTCAACAAGCAGATAAGCATTGGTCGAAACGCACTTTTCAGATAGACGATTGGGTCTTTCTCAAACTCCACCCCAATCAGCAAATATCGGTGTCCAAAACTCACTGCCCAAAACTGGCTCCTCGCTACTACGGCCCCTTCCGGGTGATCGTCAGAGTTGGACCAGTTACTTACACCTTGGACCTTCATCCTCAGTCACGCATTTATCCCACCTTTCACATGTCTCTACTTAAGCCCAAGCTCGGTGCCCACAAGGTTGCCTCAGCCACTCTTCCCTTGGTCTCTTCTGATGGATCTTTTCTATGGTTCTCAGAACGGATCCTGCAATGTGGCATGTTCAAACATGCCAATAAGGCGGTCACTCGCTAGCTTATTAAGTGGACAAGTATGCCGAAGCATGACGCCACGTGGGAGAACGCCGACTCTATCTTGAACTGTTTTCCAGAGCCTGTCCTTATGGGGTGCCCTGTTAGGACCCTGTAATGCCTTAACTCACTCTAATGTTAACTTACCTGCCTCGTAGTGGAATATAGGAAGGTGGTGACTCAGCACTTGGGTTACCTAGGTCTTTTGTCTGTAGTGGATGATGTGGGTATATACAATCCCATTGTAATTCCCTTTGAATTATGAAATAACAAACTTTCCTTTTCTCTATAACTTGTCCCCCCTTGGTGCGGCTGGAACCTATCACACGTGGGCTGGGCAAATGGGTCCCTGAACTGTGGCGGGAACCAAAAATCAACCCTGCACCCAAACGAATTGGAGTCACGTGTGGCCTAGGAGGGCAATGTCGTCATTTAACTATGCAACAAAGAGAAAAAAAAGCTTGCTGGAAAACCAAATGGAGGGCATTTTTGTCCGCGCATTGTTCATGAAAAGTGCACGTTGGTTTGGATTTTAGTATAGAAATAATTTATCCTGTGAAAATCCATAGAATCACAACAATTAATTTTATGAGGAAGATTAAGTAGAGTGCCTTTTTAGTTGCTTGTCTTTGCCACTCACTGCCTATTCCTAGTTTCATGTATATCATTAGCTGCTACCATCTTTCCACTTATGATGTTAAATTGCATAATTTTGAATGTTCACTGGAATTGGTGGATGCTTCCAAGGATATACGACCTCGTTTCGTGTCTAGGACTAGATTGATAACTTTCTAAATAATGGCTTATTTGTTCAAACTCAATCTTGTATACCAAACGAGGCCTAAGTTCTTGGATTTGGAGTCCTCTGCCTTTGAGTTAGGCAAAGAATTAGATCTCCTAAAGCACCAACCTTTGGTAACCAAATTTTTTCTCTCCAAATTTCTATTTTCAATTTGAACTTACATACAAAATTGAATGAAAATGTATTAAATTAGATAATATTGATTTTGTTTAGAACATGACCAATAATTCAACAAATGAGAAATGCTAGGATTAGTCATTAGTAAAAGAATTTATGCAGGGTTGTTCATGCAATTTGAAGATAACATAAGGTTACTGATAAAAGGTTATGTGTTCAAGAAATAAAAATTTAGTCATTAAATTTTTGACAAACCATCATCAATTACTTGGAACGTGGTATTCAACTTTAAACATATTGATAAGGGTTTTTATTGCATATAGTCCTTAAAATTGATCCAACTCATCAATGTAGTCCCTCAATTTCACAATCAATCAATTTCATCCTTGAATTTGACTACCACACATCAATGTAATCCTTGCCGTCTAAATCCGTCAAATTTTATGTTAATTTGCTGACATGGCAAAAAAAATCTTTTTTTAAGTTTAAAAACAATTAAAACGAAGTAAAATATTTTGTTTTGTAACGAAATAAAATTTAAATTAAAAAGCAAAAATGATACCAGCCATATCGCCCTAGCCCAATCCGCCATTGCCACACTCACCCGCCACCCCAAGTCCAGCCACACCCTGGTGGCGGTTATGCGAGCTATCTTTAAGATTGAAGCTTGAAGGTTTGAATGGAGCTGAGCTCAATTTGCAGATAATGTGTGCCTATAATTCAAATCCCCACACTGCCAAACTGAGCACGCCATTAATGGATTCAAATACGCACCAACCCAGTTGCACCAACCAATTTTGGGTAGCTTAGAATTTGCTCCAAGCTCCCTCCTCGCCAATTTCGTCGACGGGGTGTGACTGGCTTAGGGTAGATGGGTATGACACATAGGCGGATGCGACGGAGTAGACATCGTTGGACATTTTTTGTTTTTATTTATTTGATTTCTAATTGTTTTTTTTTAACTACAAACAAGTGAAATCTCTAGGTATAGTCTATGTAGCATCAAAATCTTGGTTATGTGAGTTTTCTGTGTGCCACATCAGCAAACTAACAAAAAATTTGACGAATTTATATGGCAGGGACTACATTGATGTGCGGTAATCAAATTTAGGGACGACATTGATTGATTTTCAAATTGAGGGACCAAAGTGATGATATAGGCTAATTTCAGGGACCATTTGTGATAAAAACCCCATTGATAACTATGTAATTGAAATATCGATAATATGATAATATGAATGATGTCCAAAGTTTGTAGTGTGTTAATATGCTTGTCCATATTAAATGGTCAGACTGTTTGACCCAAATAATGAACAACAACAATCATTTACATATCGTTCGTATTCATTATTTTTTCTATTTTATATCATTCGTACTCATCATTTTCATTGTCATTCACATTC